GCTGACAACAAATTCAAAATGGGCATATATTTAAAAAAAACAATAACATCTCTGTTTCAACATTTGGTATGTTGTCTTTATACTATTCTCAATTAAATATTGGGTTTAAATGATTTGCACATGATTTATTTCTGTTTTTATTCACATTTAGGACAACATTGCACTGGTTTTGGAAACAGGATTGTAAATGAAGGGTTCACATGGTGTATTTGCAGCACATCCATTAAGCATTCCTAAGCAATCTTGTCTTATATGGTACTCAAATCATATCTGTACCCACTCTGTCTATCTGTTGAAAAGACTACAACTACATGTAATGAATCGGTCATTAGGTGCCTGCACAGTGTTATCACTTTGTTAATACAATGGTACCAGGGCACTTGAAGTTGGACCCAAGATAGCACAAAATGTTACGTGTTCAAAAGAGGGAAGTGTTGGAATTTTTTTCACAAGGAACCGCCCACAGCCAGTTACTGCAGCAACGAATAACTCTGGAGCCTTCAGAATGAAATGTTTGCTTTGGTGTGTTTGGTTTACACACTGCTTTCCCCTTGGCCTAACATATGTCAACGTCTCATATCATTCATGAGGTCTGTACTTGCCCAGTATCTCTGTGGACTGAGTTTGGCCAAATGATTCATCAAAGGCTAAAATATGACATTTTCATGCAATGAAGTTGGATCAGTATCTCTGTGGAACATCTTTGGCCCACTAAGCCTGCATCAGTAATATCTAGAGTTGATATAGGCTAATCAAAGTAGATGACAATGCAAGAAGATGAAAGGAAGTCAGCTGAAACGCATAGATGGTTGTTCAAAGAGGATTTTTGTACACACCACTCTAGTGTGAAAAAAATGCATTGATCTGTGATTAAATGCTCCATTCTTGAGAAATTTCTCAAGTCAGAATTGCTACTTCAGACAAAGCTATTACATTAAATGGTTACAAACACACAGCCTGATGACTCAGAGATAGTCTCATGATATTTTTGAGATACGATTTTAGGCATTTTTTTTGTCAAGTCAGAGTGATACATGCTGGCCATACATAGTACATAGGATTACATAGTAACCAAATTGCTATTTTACCATTATCAACATTTCATATATATCAAGTCAGAAGATTTGTATAGGTTCACTGTTTTGACTAGTAGATAGAATTGCTATAAATGTATTGTGTGACCCCAAGTTTCTAAAGAAATATTAATTTGTAAGTCCTAGAAATTTGTGAAGATTATCAGTCTGATATTTATTGAACTTGTTTAAAATGTAACCCAGTTAGTTTCTGTTAAAAAGAATAGGAAATTAACCAAGAACCTGCAAAGTAACAGACACCAGATTAATTAATAAAACACAGTTTTACATCAAAATGATGTACTGAAATTGGCTACAAATACAATGTACTGATCCAGATGTATACTCTACCAGCTGAACATATTCTCTAAAGATATTTATTCAGGAACTCTGAGAAAATATATTAAATTAAAATTGTAGTTTAATTATATAATTAGAGCATATAGTAGCACAGCAGTTCTAACCTATTTTTTTTTCTGCCAATTTAATAAAAAAGCCTTATAGTATGTCATAGTAATGAGAAAGTGTCTCATCATTATGACTTACTGTCTCATAATTATTATGACAGTGTCTCATGCTAATGGTAAAGTTTCTGATAATTATGACTTCAGATCTCACAATAATGATGTACTCTCATAAAAATGAGATGCTAAGTCATTATTATGAGATAGGATCTCCTTATAGGATAGCAAGTCATGATTATGAGACATTTCATAATTATGAAATACTATATACTATGTCCTAATTATGAGATAATATGTTGTTATTGATCAATAAATCCATTAATCTTTATTTTCATTTGGAAATACATTTGTAGCTCAAAGGAATTGAAAAAGAAATTTAATCAGGTTAAACAAAATGAACAGAACTACATAAACAAATTATTAATGGTGAACGGTAAAATCAAACAAGATAAATGGCAAAAGAATTAAACATAACCACCTGAACTTTTAAATTGTTTTACTGAGTTTAAATTGCTCCCTAATTGGCATATTGTGCCCAAATAGAGCATGAAAGTTAGTGTTAAGTATTTCCATAGACACAATACAAGGTAAAGGGATCTCATAAACCCTTCCCCCTACATTTTTAGGTGAATTATGGTATGTCACTGAGGCAAGACAAGGCAATTTTATTCATATAGCACCTTTCATCACTGTGGTCATTCAAAGTGCTTTACAAATGAGAACACACAAAGATAATTCTAATTAAAATTTAAAAAGATGTAGAAATTAAAAACATAATTAAAGCTATAGATTTAAAAGAGAAGAAATGAAGCATTAAATTGAAAATCAAATTAAAAATTAAGTTAGGGTAATAAAGTGAGAGAAGTGCAGTAGAGTGATGTAAACTAAGCTGAAAGCTGCTCAAATAGGAACGATTTCAGCCTGGATTTAGAAGTGTCCAGTGTAGGGCTCTTCTAATGCTCTCTGTCAACTGGTTCCATTTAAGAGCAGCATAGTAACTGAACGCTGCTTCTCCATGTTTAGTCTTTACCTTCAGCAGTTCTAACTGACTAGTTGTTAATGATCCGAGAGTTTAGTATCAGATAAATACGCTTGTCCTGCACCATTAAGACATTTACAGATCAGATTTACTGGTAAGCAGTGTAAGGATTTGAGAATGGGGGTGATGTGTTCCCTTCTTTTACTTCTAGTGAGACTTTGGCAGCTGCATCTTGAATCAACTAACGCAGACTAATGAAAACTAATAAAGGTGTAGACGAGGGCAAACTTTCAAGTGCACTAAGATAAGTCCTATATTGGTACATCATAGAAAATGGCTGATTCCCTATTTAGTTCACTGCATGGAGAACAAGGAGAGCTGATCCAACACCCTACCAGCTGGGATGTACGACGCAGTCATCTTTGGAATTCGTAAATGTCCACTATTTGACATGTACAGTGCACTAAATAGGGCATAAAAGTCATCATTTCAAGTTATTCATAGCACACTTTATATGGTGTAGGTTTTCATCTAGCATTGTGGGATACCCTTTGGCAGGCAAAAGTGCACTTAGACAAGACCTACATTGGTACAGCCTGGGAAAGGAAAAGAGCTGAACCCCTAGTCCACTACATATGGAACAAAGAGGCAAATAGTTGATTTGAGACACACTCCTAGTGTTTTTCAACTGCAGTCCTAGTGTGAATTCAAATTTGTCCACTAATTGACATCTGAATATGGATTGAGCTATTTTCTAGGGTGTATCAATGAAGGACTCATCCTAGTGCACTTGAATGTTTGTCCCCTAATGGTGTCACACAACATCCGATGGCTCACTACACCCTGTATAGTGCGCTACAAAGAAGTACTATTTAGTATAGTGTACTAAGTAGAGCATAAAAGCCATTATTTCAAGTTACTCATAGTGCACTATGTAGGGTGTAGTGAGCCATTGGGCATTGTGTGATGCCATTACGGGGCAAACATTCAAGTGCACTAGGATAAGACCTTTATTGTATACACTCTAGAAAATAGCTGAAGCGGCAAATAGTTGATTTGAGACACACCCACAATGTTTTCCAGCTGCAGTCCTAGTTGAAGTTTGAAATAGTCCCCTATTTGACATATAGTGCACTAAATAGGGCACAAAAACCATTATTTCAAGCTCTGGTTCAAATTTGGGGGGGCCATGGGATAGTTGTTGAGATTTGTGGGATGGTTGTTGAAAAATTACACAGCTGAGATGCAAATGAGCTGACAGGTATCAATTATTATAAAGCTTGTATTACAGTTTAGAACTCTCAGAAAGAAGCCGAACCTGCCCTGGAATCTGTTTTCACTACATCTTTAGTGTGCTGTGGTCATTTATGGAACTTACATTTATTATTATTAGTCTTTCCTTTTTCGTCTGAATTATCACCATATTTATTATTATCAGGGAATTTCACAACAGCCTAGCATTTATAACAACGTGCAGATCAGACTTAGAATTTTAGTGACATAATGGAAAAGAAAAACAAAGTTAAATCTGTATACTGAATATGTATATATGGCACCCTTGATTTCAAGCCATACATAGTGCCCTAAATAGGATTCTTCATGGGTTCTTTAGGAAAGTCAGTGGTTCTACATAGAACTATGAATACTAAAAGAACCATTTGCATGCCTAAATGGTTCTTTGCATGGTAAAATGGTTCTTCAGATTGATGGAGCATGCGTTGTATATAGTTATATACCTTTTTAAAAATAGTTCTATATAGCTTCAGACGGGTTCTTCTGTTGTCCTATTGTGTTGTTCTATTCTTCTGTTGTTGCAGGCTTGATATCGTAACAATAGAAAAACCCTTTTTGGTGCTATGTACCATTTTCAAACTTGTAAAACCATATTTAACACATTCTCCACCAATCTAAAGAACCATTGCAAAGAACCCTTTAAGCATGCAAATGGTTCTTTGAGTGTTCATGGTTCTACATAAAGCCACTGTCGTTACTAAAGAACCCTTGAAGAATCATCTTTTTTTTAAGAGTGAAGGGAACCATGGCAGAAGCCACGCCCCTTCCCCCCTCCTGCCATTCACCTGTTTACCTCCGCCTTCAGACCGCGAGCGCTCATTGGCTGCTGCCTGAAGCCTCGGCGAGGTCTCGAGCAGCTTTCGCGTGCACTGCGTGGAGATCGAGGCTGCGGGTGACACTTCACGTGAGGAGGGATTTCACAGAACATCGCATCTCAGCAAACTGGACAGTTTAAAGCTGAAAGTGCGGACCGTCCAGTATCAGGGCTTCCCATCTCTCATCTTACTGGTCAGACTTTACTTCGCGCTTTAGTTTTTTTATTGAGATCTTGATTTGGGAAGTACCCCCTCGGGTCTCTCGCGGGGCAGAACTTCAGAGTGAGTCCGCTCGTGCGCACGCGCGCTCGTTGTTTGAGGACAGCAGTAAAGTTTCCTCCAGTTTGACCGTCTCCGCCGCTGTCAGAGCTTTTGAGGACGCAGAAAAAAAAAGAAGGAACAGAAGAGCAGCAGCTCTGTCCGTCCGTCGCGCGCTGATAAGCAGCAGAGACCGAAATGGACGCAGCCAAACGGATCCTCGTGCTGATTTTGACTTGTTCGCTCGGACCGGTGAGTCTCTACGTACGGTCATCTCACTAATAAGCGATCCAGTGAAGAGCCTTCCAGTTTTACATTAGCTGCATGCCTGGTGCAGAGTTTTCTAGATACATTCCCACACAGAAATCTGATATACACTCTTTAAAAAACGGTTCTTTAAGGGTTCTTTAATAAAGACAGTGGTTCTATATTGAGCCATGAACACTCAAAGAACCGGAATGGTTCTTTGCATGGTGGTGTTCTGGTTGATGGACAGTGTGTTGTGTATGGTTCTATATAGAACTTTTTTGAAAGGGTTCTATATATAGCACCAAAAAGGTTTCTGCTATTGTTATGAGGCCAAGCGTGTATCAGTAGGAGAACCTTTTTTGGCAGCTATTTAGAACCATTTTCAAAAAGGTTCTATATAGAACCATATACAACACATTCTGTGTCAAACTGAGGAACCATTTCGCCATGCACAGAACCATTTAAGCATGCAAATGGTTCTTTGAGTATTCATGGTTCCTTGTAGAACCAATGTCATTACTAAAGAACCCCTGAAAACCGTGTTTTTCAGTATATGGATTTCAAATATATGACATGTTTAGCAGATGGACGTATACGCGTAAGACATATTTAACAGTCTACACTCTTAAAAATACGGCTCTTGAAGGGTTCTTTAGTAAAGGGAATGGTTCTGTTTAGAACCATGAGTTCTATAGCCTATAACATTACAAACTTAGCATCTTAAAAATAGAAGAACCGCTTTTTGGTGCTGTATAGAACTCTTTTCAAAAAGGTTCTGTATAGAACCATATGCAACACATTCCCCATCAATCTGAAGAACCATTTTACCATGCAGAGAACCATTTAAACATGAAATGGTTTTATATACACTCTTACAAAAGTGGTCCTTAAGGGGTTCTTTAGTAAATAGAACTTTACTATATAGAACTATGAAGTCTGAAAGAACCTTGTGTGTGCTTAACTAGTTCTTTGCTTGGTGAAATGGTTCTTCGGATTGATGTGGAAAGTGTTGCATATGGTTCTGTATAGAACTTTTTTTCAAAATGGCTCTATATAGAACCAAAAAGCATTCTTCTATTGTTACGATATCAAGCTTGTAACCATAGGAGAACCCTTTTTAGTGCTAAAAAGAACCCTTTTCAAAAAGGTTCTATATAGGACCATCTACAGAACATTCTCCATTGATTTGAAGAACTTTTTTGATGCAAAGAACACTTTAATTATGCAAAGGGTTCTTTGAGTGTTCTTGGATCTATACTTAACTAAAGAACCCTTGAAGAACCATCTTTTTTTTTAGAGTGTGTGATAAAAAACGTTGTTCATATATGAATGTCATATATTACTCATATGCTTCATGTTATATAATATGAGGTTTTTATTCATCTTCCACATACTTACTAATGCAGTGAGAATGATCATAACAGCTACATAATTCAGCTATAAAAACATGCACACTGTAATGCTATGCAATAAAAATTATTTGAACATGAAATAAATGAAAATATTGTTTCCTGACACATTTAAATAATTTAATATTTTAAGCAAACAGATGATATAGTAGCAATTATAACTGTTCTGTAGTGTATTCAACCTAGTATCAGGCATATATGTGTGATCCATGCATAAATGTCCAGTATTTGAGACTTACACATATGTGCACAACATGAATGTATATATAATTTGAAATATATGCCTGACACTTATATGATATATGTGTATGTATAAACATGCGTCAGATTTCTGTATGGGTTAGGCTCTTCTGAAATCAGGGGTATTTTAATAGATTGCAGCAGTAGCAGCCTCTACTCTTCTTATACAGCTGCACTAGATCCTGGAACATTGCTGCGAGGATTTGATTGCATTTAGCCACAAGAGCATTAGTGAGGTCAGGTACTGATGTACTGATGGATGATTAGCTCTGGACATTCCAGCTCATCCCAAAGGTACTAGATGGAGCTCCATCATCCCATAGAACACAGTTTCACTGCTCCACAGCTCCACAGTCGAGTGCTTGGAGACTTTATGCCCCTTGGCACCGGGCATGGCTTCCTCTAGAGCGGCTTATTCTACTAGCAATCCTTTTCTATGAAGATTGTACAAGCTGTGTGCAACTGAAGGCCTGTGGCACCTTAAAGTGACTGAATTCACACATTGGAGATGGCTGTCTGTACATTTGGACATATTATATGTTTTATAGTACTGCTTTTCAGTGCTTGAGGCTATGGCCAGTCTGTCTAGCCTTTGCCTAGTCTTGTTTTAAATCACTTGAGATTATCACACTGTATATCTTCTGAAATGTTTTGCACTGTAGGTTTAATGAAAATAATAATAAAAGTTAGATTTTTTCATATTTGGGGTGTCTGGACTGCTGTAACTGTTCAGAGTGCTTTCAGCATATGAACTCATAGAAAATACAACTTGTTTATGTGTACTCTTACCACAATTTAAAACCTAAATGAGGTGATTTTATTCTTATTTAACCTTATGTAGTGATTTTTATCGACTAGTTTTTCAGTGGACACAATGTGCTAGATGATTGCAAAACACTGAGGAGGCCTGAGGTTTGTGAGAATTTCCTCTGGAGCAAACTTATTAGCAGACGGTAACATAAACAGATGGAAGATGGAAAGCCCCCCATTTTTAAATGCATTAAAGCCTGCAGTGTTGCATTAACACTCTCAGCATTCTTTTTAAGTCCAGCTGGATACAAATTAAACACTGCAAGTGGTTATGCAGTGCTTGAGATTTTCTCGTGTCATTAAGAGTGTATTGTGAGACCAACATCCAGACACTTGATTCAACAAGTCAGTCAGTGATTCATATATGATGAATGATGTATTTTATCAATGCTATACTTCATTAACTTAAACAAGACTCTTTTTGAAAAAAAAAATGTAGTCACGTGAAGTGCTCACACAGCAGTGCTGAATGAACACTTCTGTTGTGTGTTTGTCCAGCCTAATTTAAATGCACTCATGGTGTTGATTCAAACCTGTGGTTGTTCATTCAATCTTCCTAAGGGTGTGTAATCAACCCTGTTAGTATTAATTGAACATTGTATGTGTGGATTCAACCCAATTTGATTGTGTTAATTAAAAACTGTAGGTGTTAATTCAGTCCTGAGGGTTTTAAGTCAATCGTATTCAATTCATATTCATATTCAAGTTCAATTCTTAAAGTATTAGTTCAACACTGTAGGTGTTACTTTAATCCTTAAGGTATTACTTAGCCCTGAGGATGTTAATTCAATTGTGGGTGTTAATTTAACACTGAATAAATTGAAAGCAGAAGGAAATTCAATCCTTGGTTCAAGGATATTGGTTCAAGCCTACAAGTGTTTGTTCAACCTGAAGGTGTTAAATCAATCTTGTAGGTGTTAATATAACATAGCAGGTGTTACTTTAATCCTGAGAGTGTTACTTAATCCTGAGGATTCAAATTCAATGCAAGTGAGTTTAACAGAATAAATTCAAAGCTTAAGGAAATAATTCCATCCTGAAGAAATGGGTTCAATCCTACAAGTGTTCATTTAACCTGAAGGTGTTGATTCAATCTTGTAGGTTTAAAGTAAATCTAGTAGGTGTTAATTCAACATGGTAGGTATTGATTCATATATTTGGTTGTTAATTCAATCCTGAAGGTTTTAGTTCAATTCTGTAGGTGTTAATTTAACACTGTAAGTGTTCATTCAAAATTGTTCTATTAATTAAATTCTAAGGCAGTTAATTCAACACTGTAGGTCATTGTTCAAACCTGAGGCTTTTAGTTCAACTCTGGAGGTGTTTAATTCAACACAGCAAGTGCTAAAACAACACTGGAGAATTTGGTGTGGAGCAGTTCACCATGTAACTGTCTGTGTTTGGAAATTGTATTGAATTTTATGTTATTTTCTCACTTCTCCCATTGCATCTTCCAGTGTATACCCAGTTTGCATCAAAATCTCCTTTCCTTTGTCACTACTATAAATGACAGTTCTGGAGAACGTATAGCACCTTTTTATTGGCCGTATGAATCTGGCATTGTTGAGCATTGTTGCTGCGGTGTTGCCATGGAGGGGTTCCTCCATATGCACACCCAGAACAGAACATTGAAGCATGCTTAATTCAAAATAGTGATGCATTGGTTTCCTTTCCTGGATGTGACGCCATGGCAACCACCTTCATTGTTGGTTATGTCCAAAGTCAGGAGTGTCCTTGGTCACAGCTCCATTCAAAAATCTGTGACGCATGCAATATTTTTATATGGCTGCTATAGCTCTTATTAAGGCATCAATGCATATGTGCTGAAGGACGTTTCATCCATTTCACACTCATCACTGTCTTTCTTTGAAGTGTTAACACTTGACGTTGGCAATAAAGTTTCTTTTTTCCAAGTAATCACAGTTGACGACGCATGGAAGACAGTTATATCTAATCTAAATGAGTCTAAAATAGCAAAGTTAGCACCATAGTGATTGTACAATTCTCTTACAGGCTCTTCATGGAACTTTTAATTAATTAAATGAACACCTGTACCTGATATAAAAGGTTTAGACCAGTAGTAGCACCGTTCTGCAGCCATATGGGTCTTGTTTGAGGCTAACAATTGCTGTTGGAGAAAAGATTTATACCTTCACTGAGCACCTCCATCTGCCAAAGTAACCGCAATAAATCTCACAGTCCTCTAGAGCTCTGTGGAGGAATCTAAAGGAGCACACGGTCTAATAATGAAGATTATGCCTTAAGGAAAATTGGACCCTGGCTGCAGAGGGAAGGTGGTTGGGGAAGTGAATTATGCTGTCACGTGTCGTTGGGAGGTGTTCAAGCAATGCAAGGATGTCCAGTATTTTTAATACAAAAATGTCAAAATACATAAGATATAAAATTGGAATTTCAATTAAATAAGAGATTTATCGAGTTTAATTGATGTGTAGCACTGTCATAAGAAGACCTTGTTTTCGGTTACTGTTTGAAAACACACCATGTTTTCATTTCCCTTTATATTACATACATTCTTAGATTACGTTACCATAGAGCTAAACAATGGTGTTTATATTAAAATCGCAATTTGAAAGAGTTCAGTATTAAGAGTTGCAATTTAGAAGCTGCACTATATGAGACTTTTTTGTCAAAACTAAAAGAAGAAGCATTACTGAGTCAGGAGGGAAAAAAACATGCTAAAATGTTATGATGCGCTGCTGCGAGTTCACCTATAAAGCCTGGAATAGTCATTTAAAAGTCAGAGGCGTGTCGCTGGAGTTTTTCGGACCACGTCATACGTCTTTATGTATTAATGTCACATGCAGAGGCTCGTAAAGAAGGTCTGTCTTGATGTTTAGGTCTCAAATACCAAATCAACTATATACGAATGAAGATATGATGACAATGTTAGATCATTCACTCGTAAGATGCATCCTTGAAAGATGCATCCTCGGAAGATGCCTACTTCACCAAGTTCTGACTGAGTTCTCTTTGGATTCTCGTTCAACATTCTCGCAATCATCAGATTCATCTGCTTGAGGAAGGGGTCCGAAGAACAACCCATGTTACAAAATGTTTTTCCATAAATTGCATGCAATTAAACATTTCCACACGAGAAATCTTCAAAATGTACTTAGTTGAGCTTTAATTATATCCTACATTATTCAATATTGTTTTAAGTTTTAAGTGGGGTAATTTTAACTACTAACTTAGAGCATCTGAACCTTCAGTCTGGCACATTACATTTAGCATTACATCCACCGAAAAAGGAATGTGCTGGTGAAAAAAAGGGCTGAAGCTTAATTTACAAACCACAGTTGTAATACTGGGCAGAAATGAGAAGGTCACAATTAGTCACAATTTGATATTTTTTAGTTACAATTAGATTTTCAACTCAATATTAACAGATGCTAAGTCAAGCATATTCTTTCCTTCCTTATATTCTTACAGAGATACATTTTCTTATGGCAATGACAAAATGTAATCCTCTTTGCTCCCCATTATAAACCCGCCACCTTTTTGACGTCTAACAAAAGTCGTCCTCCATAGGCAGCACATTTGCTCTGTACATTGCATGTAATAATTGTGACTATTTCTGTGCTTGTTATAAAGCAGCCCATGCTTCTCCATTCAGTGTTCATTAGGGAATTCTTGCCTTCAGTCACTCATAAAGGTGCTCCCTGTAACCTTTTGTGTGAATGTCAATGAAAATGCTATGAATAAAGGAAACAGTCCAGTTTGCTGCACTGAATGCAAAAAATATCTAACTTTGGCCCTATCTGTTCAACCAGATGTTATCGGTCCAGATGTGTGACATCATGCTAGACCTGGAGAGGGAGGAATATGAGTGTCTGGCCAACTTGGAAAATGTCACATCAGGTTTGTTTACTTTTCATGCGCATAATAATAGCCACTGGGAAAACTGAATATGATTGCTGTGTTTGCCTGTGATTGTTAGCCAATGTAACACTATTAGTGGAGCTCGTGTAGTACTATTAGTGGTAAGCCCTCTTCGGTAATAAGCAAACTTCTCTATTAAAGGATTAAGATCTAATCCATCTAATCAAAGCTACGCTGGCAAAATCACGAACTGAAATGACGAGTCATGTGGTTTAGAGTTTGAACAATAAGGAACGTAGCACCTTTATTAAGCTTTTGGCAGTAAAAAAGCCTGTAAAAGGGTCCTACATGTTTCTTGTATTGTATTCCATGACGTCTAATAATGTCGCTTGTGTGGGTTTATGTCATAATTCATTTTTACATGACCATTTTCCAACTTCTTTCTTCAGAATAAAAAAGGTTTTTGTTACGGTGCCTTTAAGGCTGATATATGTAAATGACTTTTGTTCTCACTAGCTGCCCTGTGTTGCACCTCAGTCCAAATTGAAACACTCCTTATAACTTTAGCTTAAATGGGCGGGGCTAAGCTGCTGTAGGCTCAAAAGGCATTATAAATGTATTCTTTTTGTGTCCTCACAAAAGTAATGAATTCAAAATTGGGACTTCTTGCAGCTTCAAAGACATGATAGTGAGGAAAGTGAGGAAAGTTCATTTTTTACATGATATGGGCCATTTAACAGAACACTTAGTAGGTTGCTACAGGCTCAATAGATGGATATGACACCACAAAAAGCAACCAATTCAAAATGTTGCTGCTTAATTTCACACATGAATGGGAGAGTTTTGAGATGTTATATCAGTGCTTGTGTACGACATCAAAATCTGTAATTTCAAAAAAGTGTCGAAAGTGGGGTTTTCCATGATACAGAACCTTTGAATTTCTTGGTAGCTATTGTTAAATGGATAAAGATCTAACCTGTCATTAAATTTTGTGGGCAAAATCATAGACTTGAACAGTAGAGGATGTTGTTCTGGTATAGGATGAAGAATATAGCTTTGTTTTGATACAGTTTGGAGAATATGTCTACATTATAGATGAGTTTTGACCGCCTTAATTTTTTAAATTTTATTATTATTTTTTTTAGCACATGTACCACCTGTTCTCTCCTCGATGTGGTTGAGCTACAGCCTTTCCAAAGAAAGAAAAATAGCAGCACTGAAAGCACTTTGAAGTAACAGACAGCTAGTTCAAAGTACCGAAATACTTTGAAGCAACTTCATGAGAAACAATTTTTTTTTTAATCAGCAAGCATCTAATGTCAGTGATGAGTCACTGGAATCCTCATCAACACATGCTGTGCTGATTTCACTCTTCAAAACAGAAGATAGAACCTTGAACAGTAGAAGCATACTGAATTTTCCTGCCTTAAAACCACATGAAAAATACAGCAGTATATCTTAAAATAATGATATATAATGATATATAATCAATGACATTATTATATTTGCTGGAATTTCTATTACATTTATCAACACTAGTGAAAATGGTGTGTTCCACTAAAGATATTAGAATTGAAGACAGACGTTTCTGGTCCTCTGGAATGGACCAGAGCAAAGGTCAGAGGTAGCCCCTCTTATCTTCTGATGGAGTGGATTTATAAGACACTTTTATAAACTGATGATTTGTGTTTGCGTATATTGGCCTTTGGGATAAGATAGGAGGCCCCATGCATGTTAATTAGAATGGCACAGTCAAACAAGCTCATTCGCTTGATATTATGACATGATATATTTGTTAAAGTTAAAATAAGCTCATTTAAAAATGGCATTTTTCTCTTTTCTTCGTAGGCAAATCTGTGAGGAGTATAACTAGTAATTTGCGGTTGTTGTTGCAGTTTGTGTGTAGGCTTATTCCTCCTGGTGTATTGTTTAGTGTGACATTGTTAAACATTGACAAATGCAGTAAAATATAAGTAATAAAATGTCATTTTTCTGCAAACTTTAGTTTTCATGTAAAAAATTATATTGAATACTATGTCAAATAATTAAACATTCCACAAGAATAATGAAAGCTGAAAACATGTTTTACTTTTAATGATTAAATGAAATGTTTCATTTATTATTATTATTAAAGTTTGTCAAAAATCAGAGACAAATCATGGGATACAGTATATCACAAAGAAACCTCTGGCTGCATACTGGAATATTTGGCTGGAGTAGTCCATCATCAAGGTATCTTTGGCATGCTGGAGAAGCTCATGGTGGTCACATACTGCATACTACTTACTACTTTTGGGCACAGTCAGTATGCCAGCAGTGTGTGGTAGGCTATTTGAAACACAGCCCATGTTTTAGATGCTATTTAAAGTGTTTTAAGCCCCTCAGAAAACCGCTTTATGCCCCAGTTTTAATACCTGCTGAAGTTCCTTCTACTTGGGATGGATGGCACACTAGCCAACATGCTGTCGGACATAAACACAGTTGATCCAAAAGTTTGGACTACTTTTAATATAGTCGACTAAAACTGATATTCTTAATGGACTAGAAATGATTAGTTGGCAGTTTGCATGATATTAAATTCTCCTTTTGGGCACAGTAAGAATCTTTTTCCAGTTAAATGTTGGTGAATTCTTTAAAGTGTATGGTTTGTTATAGTTTGGTTTGGTCAAAATTTCTGCATATTTAAATCATTGAGATGTAAACCTCATTCAGAGTGGTTTGATGTGAAATGCCCCAGTTTCTGGAGAAACTTACTGAATCAGATTTGTTCACAATGGTGGTGATAGGAACCAGACGTCCGTAGAGAAGATATTACGTGAAATAAGATAAGATGAGATAATCAAGGGAAATTCACAGTGCTACAGCAGCAAAGGGATAGCAAGGCATTCAAGAAAAGACGTTATAAGAAGAGAATTAACAGTTATGTATTTCATATATTGAGGGTGTATCATTTCAAGTACTATGTTGAAAAATGTCAAACTGTATGACTGCTCCTCACTTTTGTTCAAGCCTCTTGCATTCACTTTATAAATCCTACTCTAAGTGATCAGAACTAGGCATCTGGGTGCATCCAGTCAGAGTACCGTGGGCAGGGAGAGGGCAGGGCCTTATATTATCCAAGCTTCCACACTCAGATGATGGATTTTTCTGAAGTTGCTCATAAATTTTAGGAGTTTGTAATATTAGAGGCTTGTTTTGTTAGAAGGCTGATATGCAGGCGTTGAAAAAGTTCCACTGGAGAATGTTTATGTATCGGAGCCAAACTACAATCTGTTAAGTAAATTATTAGACTTCTGTAGAAACGAGATATCGGAAATCAAACTAAACTCAGAAAGAAATCATAGTATACCTGAAAATCCATACCTCTATTAGATATGACTCATTCTCATTGAAGTAGACGTAATATTAAAAAAACGGAGCCGTGTGAATAAAGTGAGCATCTGTTTGTTGACATTAATAAGAGTTGTTCTACCTTACTCCCACGCACGTGGCTAATCAAAGCAAAGTGCTGTCTATTCCCTCATCCAGACAAAACTAATCTACTATTGATTATGTTTTTAATAGACAAAGCAATGACAGGTGGTGGCGCTTTGAAGTTGAAGCCTGTTAGAAGTTTCAGCGCTGTCACTGATGTGCACTGAGAGTTAAAAAAAGAAAAGAGCGGCAGAAAAGCCTCTAGAGTAATAAGCAATACAGCAATATGCAGATTGTTTTCTTGTACTATTAGGCATGCGATGTCTGCATGCTCTCCCAAGCGATAACATTCTTGATTGCTTTGTCTGCTGCGCCAAAGTAACTGAATGAAAATGACAGTGAATGAACGGCAGCTTATTTGACTTGTTGGCTTGTTGATTCTGTTACAAGGCAGGTGATTAGATGATGACCCTCAGAAATGCCACGCAAGGTTGTGGACACTGATGTATATCAGAGCGAAGCTGTGGTGATTATCTGTATTGTTCGTTCTCGGAAAGGCAAAAAAGTCCACCATCAGCACAGATTAAATCATAAAGTTAAGGATGTATTTCCTTTTGATCATAAAAACTGCCGTCACCTCTGCAAAATAAGGGTTTTTCATTTTTTATTCACTGCCACAATATAATAAAAGCGTAATTCCTCTTAATAAAAGAGTAACATGGACATTCATTCTTGCAATTCTTGTAAGTATTCTGTTCTAACATTGTTTTACAATTTAATTATATTTGTATTATTGAAATCAGTCAGTGTGTAATTCTCTCAGCAGGTTAACATGTAAAGTATAATGATGCATAAACCTGCGTACAGTTAAGGGAAGTTAGGCAGTGTTTTCATAACTGAAACAGACGGAGAGAACATGGGACTCCTAACACCTGTGCAAGACCTGGTAGACCAAAACAGTCCCATCAGATAAACTGCACTTAATCTTTCATCTTTGAGAGAGAGGAGAAAATCAAGCTGCTTCAGATCTGAAAACATCCACCAGTGTTTCTGTCCATCCTTCCACTGTGAGAAGACAACTCAGCGTCCAGACTTCAACAGTACTGAATGTGTTTGGATTACGTGGATTGTGAGAAGCATATAGTGTAACCAACTTCTAAGACTTCTAAGAGGTGTGGAAAAATATCCCTGCAGATTTTCCAATATCCCTTGGAAAAACTGAAAGCAATTTTCCTGAAAAGAATGAAAACTGTAATAGGGACACAATAAATACTGAAAAACTTCAATATTCTATTTAGTTGTTGAAGCTTCTGTTAAATATGTTTTCTGTGTTTTTCCTGACACTGAAAAATGATTAACTTTTATGCCATTTTGACTAGAAATTAAATCAACTTTGGGGGTCTCTGATTTTTGCACAGTACTGTACATCAAATCATTTCTAACCTTTGACTTATAGGTGAAAGTGCTACAAAATAGGCATTGTACATAAGAAATCACATACTGATGTTAAACTTAGTGTACGTTGTTCATTTTTCATAATTTGCTGGTGTTACTGGTTTTAAATAGCAAGGAGAAGTTAAGGATTACCCTGTTGGTAAAATTTGCCTGGCCCACTTGTGGTCCACATTCTTGAGTTTGTTCTAGCCCAGCATACAGCTGGTACCTCGGCCCTGATTTGACCCAGGCACTGTAAGTGAGTAGAACTGATCAATGTGGCCCAAAACTGGCCCAAATACACTGTTAAGCCATTCACGCTAGAATTGGACCACAAATATTAACATGAGGCAAAAATTACACAGCTGTCCTGCATATACTCTGGCCCAGAATTTGACAACTGTAGGTGCCCAGTAGTCAACCAACTCTTGTGTATGAAAACCATAATTTGCTTTTGCGTATGTTTGACCAAGCATTGGCAACCTGATTGGTTAAACCAAAGAAGTAGATATCAAGTAAAGTTTAGTTTTACTGCTGTTTTTTTGTGATACACATAGACTTTAAGCATCTCTATTTCCTATTTATATTGTCATGGTGGTAAATGTGTATGTCTGCAAAATTTCTGACCAATAGTGGAACACCTCTGTGTGTAATTCGGTCCACTTTATCTGTTGTAGTGTGAAACCAACCAAACCAAATAAAAAAGATACAATCACAAAAACTTAATAATAGGTTTACAGACACGTTATTACATAAAGGTAGTTTTAGTTACTCAGACAGTGGTCTGGTTGCAGGTTTTTTTTTTTTTGTACCACTCCTGTTCCTACTGTACATTTTATAAGTCAGTGCTGAATGAGGAAATGTAAATGTACATCTAACATTGATAACAATGAATAACAATAGAAGGAACTAGTAGGAATGGTAATAGGATCATGCTATAGAGTCCCTAATAACTAACTTTGACTTAAACTGCTCGTGAAACTGATTTCCTGTTTTCCCAGGCTGCAGCAGTAAATGGGAAGTTGCTTGCTGGCCGTCGGCTAACGTTGGACAGCTGGTCACCATCCCCTGCCCCAGTTACTTCAGCCATGTCAGTGACCAAAAAGGTAATATTAGCATCAGTATAAACAGCTAATCAGTTTTTCTCCAAGGAAGATGCTGAAGAATTTTGCTATGTAGAGCCTTGCTCTCTGAAGAGAAACAAAAACATTCTCTCAGGCCACCCACGTTTTTGTGTGTAACACTGTTCAACGTTCAATAAATAATGCAAGCGAGGTTTGAGGCAGTAGCGTAATTAGTGTGTTTGTAACAGGTAGCTACCAATGTTAAAAAACTCCACTTTCTTTAATAAAAAGAGAGGAAGAGAGAAGAGGACATGGCCTGAGTCAGAATGTGTGGGACTCTAGGGGTCTATATGTTAGCAAGCGGAGGCCTAGACCTTCTCTTATTGTGATACATTTGTCTCTGGAGAACTCTGCTGTGACAAGATTGACTGGAGGGAGTTAAGGGTAGAGCCAAGATGAATGAAAAACTTGGAACATTTTATTTTTCTCTTGCTCAGGAGATATAACAGAAAAATAAACAGCAAAACACAACAGAGCAGTTGTGAGCTTTTCAGTTTTGTTTTGGTCTGTGAAGGAGCATTTTCTCCTTGGTCTGTGCTTAGCAAAGGAATTTAATGCTTGAAAGGGAATTTCATCTGGTTTTTTTTTAATTCTACATAATTAAATGGTTAAGATATAAACATAGTCATTCAGAGTGGTTTGATGTGGAATTCTACATTTTAGAGAAACTTAACAAGTTAGACCTGTTCACAGTGGTGGTGATAGGAACCAGACGTCCGAAGCATTTAATACTTTAAAATGAAATCAAATACAGTTATTACATGAAGTCATCATTATAACTTGAGATATTATTTTATAACAGGATTAGGAAAAGCTTTTGTCCTAAAACATTTGGAGGGTTATAAGGCAAAATAGTACCCAGAGAAAACATATTTTTTCATATTCATCACTGTTATCGTCATTAATGTTACTTATAAAAAGAGGAGGCATGTGTAGATTCACTGATCATTTTAGATAATTAATGGCTATATTTACGTTGTAGACATCACAACCTCCGGTTTCTGTCACCACCACTGTAAAGAAATTCAAGCTGATAAGTTTCTCCACAATGCACCACTTCACAAAAACCACTCTGAATGGCTTTGTTTACATCTCAACAATTCAGTCGTTCAGCAGCTTTGGCAAATCAGTGGAATTCCCCTTTATAAGTGGTTTCTGACATCTGTATGGACAAAAGCCATGCTTCAAAATTGCTATTATTGTTAGGTATGCGATAAACTTTTGTCCATTTTTACAGACTTCAAACATATCTAGGCTGATCAACTTCCATTTGCAGTGTGGGGACAGTGTTTTTTCACTGAACTGAGACTTTAAATGAGTAATGATGGAAGGCCTTAGTGTTTGAGAGTTATGTATGAGTTTAAATATTAGTTACTGTGTGGTTAGATGAGTTCACTCACGCAGCACGTGTGTGGTTGTGGGTGTTCCACTGTAAAACACATTTTATGTTCCCAATTAATTTCCTCTCTTTGTTCTCTTGCTGATAAGGTGCTGTTAAATATATCATTGGAAGGTGTGCGTTCTGGAATGTAGATTAAGAGATTATAGGTGTCTCTTGGCTTTACCTTTTTAGGAGAGGCAAAAGTGTAGCAGCAAATGTCTAATCATTTGCATACTGAGTAAGGCCGCCCCTTATAAACACTAGAGATGCACTGATCATGAACATCTTCAAAACTAAATTGATAGATGGCCAATTTTCTGGACTCAAGCTCATGTTCTGTGGTCTAAATGAACATATGAAACACACTAGCACATTTTCAGCTTTCTATCAGCCAAATTTTCAGTATACATCATGGTAAAGGTATGTGCACACATGATCATCACATCTATATGAGCTTGTTTTACGTCCTCTTCCAAAACCAGGTGCATGCTCCACTCTTCTCATTCATTCAAAAGAGCATTTGTGAGGTCAGACACTGATGATGGATGAGAAGGCCTGGCTTGCAGTCGGCATTCCAATTCATCCTGGAGTATGTCCAGTGGCAGCTTTACACTACTCCAGCCAATGCTTGGTATTGTGCATAATGATACTTGGCTTAAGTTATTGTGCGAGGCACCAGAAGGTAGATCATTTTATGAGCTAAGGGCTTCAGCACTTGGCAGCTCTACTCTGTGAGTCTGTGTGGCCTAGCGCTTCATAGCAGAGCTGTTGTTGCTTCTTGATGCTTCCATTTCATAATAATAGCACTTATAGTTGACCAGGGCAGATCTAGCAATTGGATCTTTAATTGGATTTAGTGCAGTACAGAATGTAAAATGTTCTGTAATAATCACTGTTTTCATAGTTTTGGTGACAGTTTTTAAATGTGACACTACTAACACATTAAGGCTGTGTAAAAATATTGTGATTCATGTTCCACATCGTGAAAATTCAAGTAATTTTTCCATATTGCCAACCCTTATGTTAATCCTATCACTATATAACTCTCTATATAATCAGATATGCAGTTACATAAGCCCATTTATAATAAGACATTACTGTGATAAATGATTAATGGAACTAATTTTTTTAACACTGTTAATGCATTTTCCTAGTTTGACCCTTTGAACCATCTGTAGTTCCACCCTGAAGCCCAGCTGCTAATGTGCTGTATGTTGCTATGACCGACTTTACAGCTGTGTTTCATGTAAATACAGCTTTTAAATGCCGAGTTTCAGCTCTCTTAATGAAAAAGGTATTTTCCAGCTACTGCAGTTCTATGACGGTGCTTATGCTGGTAATATCATTAATATCAGTTATGTCAGCACGGGAGGATGCCTTTATCAGACTGCAGTGTACAATGCTCACAGGAGCTGTATAGATAAATCAACAAGCAGCAAAATATCAAACACAACACTAACTGGAAAACTCCAGTTTCAATAGAAACAAGACGTAACTTAGCAGCATGAGAGGAAAAGGCTACAGTCGGTGATGAAAACTGGAAATGTTTATTCTGCGGAAATCAAGATTTTCACTTTCAGGTTCGCTGCATTCACATGATGAAAATAAAGCTACAGAGTTATTTATAGCATTCATACTTTTGCAGTTTTGTTTTGCTGACTCATATAGCTATAACAGAATTTTTAAAATGAGAAACAAATCTGTCTTTAGGGTCAAATTGGAGCAAATAAGGAAAATGTGATTAATCACGATTAACTACCCAAAATAATGCAATTAATTGCAACTAACTAGACTAAAATAATGCAAATTATTCACGATTAACTACACAAAATAATGTGGTCAATTGCCACATTTTGCCAATTGTCACATTTTGACCACAACATATTATTTTATTACCACTGTTAAAGTGGGTCGATAGCTACCACACTGTCTTGAGTGAATAGTAGGATCCTGCAACAGGTGGCTAACGCAAGTAGCAAGGAGCATCTAGCTATGCTACAGACAATGATGCACTGTAAAAAAAAAATTGGGGTTTTGACTTTTGATTTTAGAGTCTGGGCTGCCTTAAAATTTTGAGTTAATTGATCTTTAAATAAGTTGATAGGGCATAATTCAGCCTGGACACTAACTAAGTTAAAACTATTTTTTTTACAGTGTGCAATAAACCCTCTTTACAAGCACTCTTAAGGGAACAATATGTAAGATGATGCAATCTGTCAAATTCAGACTCCACACAGTTAGCACATTTTCATTAATTTGCAGGCCAGTACTGTTAACTGTAAAGCATGTCACTGATTTAACTCAGTTGTGTGCCAGCTTTGTTGAATATATTTAAGTCAGGCACATACATATCTACTTATGCCTTTAGAGGTTCCTCACAGAATTGTTCATTGATGGCTGTGATATGTATGATTCATCCAATAACACTGTGAATACCGTGACTGAAAACTAGGGGCAAGTTAGATCAGCATGGGGATGTGAGATTGGGCATCACACCGGGAGCGGGCAGCTACTTCTTTATCCACTTATGTTGGACTGATGCCGGACTTGACACTACAGTGACTTACCATCGCCTCTTGAGGTATAAAGTGGAGACAGGATGGGCCGGGGCTAGCTAGTTAGCATGTTAACTGAATTAGAAATCTCTGCAACGCAGTACATAAATGTCTTTGCCTTAACATCAAAACTGTTATTCCTTCACATTATGTTGATAATTCTAGTTACTTTTGGAACGTTTTAAACTAAAAATATGACATATTGCTCATTTGATTTAGAAAAGCTTAAGTAACCTACTTGCTGGGAGTTTTGGCCGGGAGAGCAGTCACTTTGTGTGAGGGAGAGGAACGTGAGTAGCCTATATATATAGCAAACTCTGATTGGTACTTTGGCAAATCACATATCACATTGTGCCAAATTTAGTCCCACCCAACTCAAATCGAACAGAAGAAAATGACTGAAAAAGGTAGTTTAAAAAAATCTCTCAACATAAAAGACCAACAGCATTCTTTCTCTCCCAGATCATTGTAAGGTGACACTTTATTTTGAGAGGTCCTTTTAGATGAAACAAACATTCAACAGACTCTCAGTAACATGTCAAAAACATATATGAGGGCTTAAGATTTTTTAGGTTTTGGGTTGAGGTTAATGTTAGGGTTAGGATTAGAGCCAGGGTTAGAGTTAGCTTTTGGGTAAGGTTGGGTAAGATTAGGTTTTGCATAATGGAAGTAACACATTAACAATACATCTACTTAAGTTAAGTAATGTATCAACATAACATCTAGACATTTACTTCAGTGTATTCAGGTGCTTCACTACTGCTACTTCACTGATATGTTGTTGATGTTTTACTGATAATCTGTTAAAAGTTAATTAATCATCTACAAAGGACTACTGCAAATAAAGTGTTACTAATTGTAAAAGCATCACCAAAACTATAGATACCCTGCTGCAAAAAACTGCATAGTCCAGCATGGCTGGTCACCAGCCATCTTCATTTTTGTTCGTATTTTATTCTTCTACATGAGTTCCTTTACATTGTGTGAAAATTTCATGATGAATGGACCCGTAGAAATTCTCCAAAATCACTTTGATTAAAACATTT